CAAAACTCCCTTAACCACGCACCACCCCAAGTCCTAGTTACCGTCAAGAAGCAGCCACTATGATCACTTTGATACATATTTCATAGACCTTTTCTGTGCATTTTAATATGGCACTTATTTAAAAAATTGAAATTATATTTATATATTTGTATCTGTGCCTTGCTTTCTTCCAACAACATGTATTGGAGACTTTTCCATGCTAGAATACTAAGACCTACCTCTTTATTTTCATTTGCTTCAAAGCATTCCATAATATATGTCATATTGAAGCCGTTTTTCTCCTGTTGGACATTTAGCTTGTTGCACACTTTTCTCAGTTACAGCAACGCAGCAGTGAACATATTTAGCCATGACCGCAAAGTGCACATGAGCCAGTGCTTGGGCAATGGTTGTTAAAGTGTGCCTCCCAGACCAGCAGCTTCAGCATCACAGGAGAACTTGGTAAAGATGCAAATTCTTAGCCTCCTCTCCTACTAACTCTGAAACTCTGAGGGTGGGGCCCAGCCATCTCTTTCAATAAGCCACCTATTTCATCTAGGTGATCCTGATGCATGATGAAACTTGAGAACCACTGGCAGGAATGTATATGTGTCCATATACACATAGATGCATACATGTACATATACATTAGTTCTATAATGTGACCTGTGTGTTCCTAAGCATTGCTGTGTTATGCAAGATTGTGCAATAAAAGCCACAGGCTTATGGGAGAAGTGGGGTTAGGGACACAACAATCAAAAACGTTGTCGGTGAGTCACCTGGGTGGCTCAGTCAGTTGAGTGTCCAACTCTGGATTTCTGCTCAGGTCATGATCCCAGGATTATGGGATCGAGCCTCACGTTGGGCTCTGCGCTGAGCATGCAGTGTGCTGAAGATTCTTTCTCTCCCTCTTCCTCTCTCACCCGCTCGCACGCGTATGGTCTCTAAAAATTAAATTACAAAATAAAAATAAAACATTATCGGTGACACAGGAAAACAAAAGCCAGGATCCTAATAAAAATGATAGCACAGACTAGAATTCAAATAAAAATTTGGAAGAAAAAAAGGATAGCACAGTCTTAAACATGTTGAGCAAATACATAACACTGCAGCACATACGGCATTTTTCCCCTGAAAAGACCTGAAGTTTGCTTGTGGAAGCGGGTGCTGGAGGGCTTCGCAATGTGTGAAGGAGGGTGATGTGAAGTTGGAAGGGAAATTTTAACACCAGGTGTGGGTGGCTGTGGCTTCTAACACACGCGGTGAACCGCGGTAACTGGTCCAGGTTGAGATGTGTGCGTTTTGTGTATTCCTGTGTGGTTTGGTTCATTTGATGAGTTTTTCTGCTTTCACTTAGCATTTCTTGAGCACGAAATTGCGCATAAGCAAACGTGAAATTGGAGTTACGCCCCAGTGTTTTGTCCCAATATATCAATGACCTTGGATCAAATTTGCCTTTTCAGTGTAAGTGTTATAGCAGAACTATATATAAATATATGTATATCTTTCACATAGAAGGGCCACATACACAACCGAATGCTGGTTTTCCACTTACTATTTCTTTCACTTAATAATATCTTTTAGATACTTTTTCCAATGTCAGCATGTAGTCACTCATATTTTTGAAAATGGCATTTACAGCCTTAGGAGATGACTAAACTGCTCATCAAAATGCTTGCAACAGTTGGCTCTCACACCAACATGCATCCCACACCCTGGCCAGGATTACCTGTTATCACACTTTTTGGTTTTTGCCGATCTGCTAGTTATACGTCTTTTTCCTTCTTCTCCCTCTCTCTCTCCTCTCATAGGTATATCTATATATGTTTGTATGTATGCATAATGTGTCTGGACGTGATATGTGTGTAGGCATATGTATATATACATACACACACGGACATTATGAGAAGTGCCTCCTGTAAATATACTGATAGAGAAAAGGAGCTTTGAAAGTGTAAAACAGGTAGTGAAGTGGTGCTGAGATGGGGAAAAAAGTAAATAAAATGGATTTGCAAAAGAAACAGAAAACAAAAGCCTATTAAAAAGGGAGAGAAGAGAAAAGCATTTTCTTTCTGTTTAATTATTTTTTACTTTTACCTTTGCTAACTACAACTTCCCACCTCATGAGATAAGATACGAGTTCGCTCTGTGCGGTTTTGATCTGTCGCTGGAGCCAGTCGACACCTCCAAAGCTGTAGCTTCCACTGTTAATCCGTTCACTTCAGTGAAGCAGCCCTGAGGGCAGCCCTGTTGGTCAGCATAGGGTCCCCTGTCCCCGACAAGCCGAGCGGACATCTGCTCAGAGGAGCATGATGGCCGTGGCCTGCTGGTCTGGGGCCCCTTGCAGCAAAAGCCGCAGAAATGGAGGCGCACGCAGGTGTCACATGTCAGATGTCTTCCTGTGAAGAGGTTGGCAGTGGACAGAATTGCTTCCAGCTGGGCACAGTACCAGGCAGGAAAGTCATAATGGTTTCCTAATTAGATCACATTGGTTTATGATCATTGTTCCTATTAGGAGATATCATTGCTTTAAAAAATTTTTTTTGAATGTTTATTTATTTTTGAGAGAAAGAGCAAGAGAGAGAAAGCGTGAGCAGGGGAGGGCCAGAAGGAGCTGGGGCGGGGAGGAAGACACAGAATCCAAGCAGGCTCCAGGCTCCGAGCTGTCAGCACAGAGCCCGATGCGGGGCTCGAACTCACGAGCTGTGAGATCATGACCTGAGGCGAAGTCGGACACTCAACAGACTGAGCCACCCAGGCACCCCATCGTTGCTTTTTGATGATTTACAGTGGGAGACGAGACTTTCAAATGAACACTGTGATTTGCATATATATGTAATATATATTTGCATATATATGTCCAACTCAGAATGACTTACTGAAAGTAATCACCAGAAAAGAGGGTGGGATATTCATGTAAAGATGCAAAAAGAAATGTAAGGAAATGTAAAAATTAGGAAGATTAATATGATGTCACCCCTTCAAAGTCAGATGCATTTTCCTTTATATGAAAGCTGCAGGAAGAGGGAGAACTGCTAGCTGGATCCATCTCTGTTTGGCAGTGAGGTTTTTGGACCTTCAAATCTCAAACTGATATTAAGAAAACAGAAAGAATAGTTAACATTTATAATAACAATTATAATGAGGTTAACATTTCACTTCTGAATTAAGAACTTGTTTTCTTGCCCTCACTTTGTGTAGTGTCCTTTCATGATGGGGAGGTAGACAGAATGTTGAGAGGGAGAGAGTGAAGAGAAAACATTGTATTTATTTATTTTTTTAATGTTTGTTTGAGAGAGAGCATGTGTGGGAGAGGGGCAGAAAGAGAGGGAGAGACAAAGAGAATCCCAAGCAGGCTCCATACTGTCAGCGCAGAGTCTGACACGGGGCTCAGTCCCATGAACCATGAGCTCATGACCTGATCAGAAATCAAGACTCAAATAAATGCTTAACCGGCTGAGCCACCCAGGTGCCCTGAAAACATTTTAACTCATAAAAGAGCTTTCGGTCTCAAAGGGGGACGAAAGCAGTGGCTCTGCAACAGCCAAGGACATTGCAGAAGGCAGAGCTCTCTCCCTCTCCATCTCGCTCTCTCCCTCTCCATCTCTCTCTCTCTCTCTCTCTCCCCCCTCCCTCCCCCTCTCCCTCTCCCCCCTCTCTCTACCTCCTTCCGTGTGTGTCTGTGTGTGTGTGTGTGTGTGTGTGTGTGTGTGTGTGTGTCTTTTGTTACTATTCTTTGCATTTCCGATAGTTACGACTTACAGGTGCAGCTCATAGCATCAGCCCAGGGTGATAAATTTAGTGGAGAGTTGGAATCGCAAAGCAAGGCATTTCTCACACTCATCTGCACAAAGCCAGATGCGTGGCTTGTACGACCCACTGCAAATTGAAAATATGGGGGCCCCTGTTCAGAAAGCTGGAAAAGAGGTGCTATTAAGGGTGCTCAAGTATGAAGCTTTATCCTGCATTCTGTGGCTTCTTTTTCTCTAGACTTGCCCTGGTTTATTTGCTATTCAATGCCATTGTAAGTTGTAAGAAAAATAAATGTTTTAAGTCATCAGCATATTTTTACTGTTCACCTTTATATTGTGCAATGCCCATTTTAAATGAAAATATAAGAGCTTTTAACTTGGATGTAGGATCACTAAAATTACGCAGTTTCTATTTTGCAGTTTATACATGCATAGGTATTCTGTTCTTGCCATAACAATGAAAATGCTGCACAAAACTGATCCCACCTGTTTTTATGTCATTTCTTAATACACATGGATTCTCCTAACACTCTCCACCTTCAGTTTACTCATGAGCAAGGAAGGACTAAAAAAGGAAAAGACACTATGGGTCGCCCTGTCTTTCCCTTTCCTTGTATGTCATTTTCAGTGTATGTGATTGGTTAATACAGGGAAGTAACAAAAGTAAGAAAGGATCTGATAGAGTTCCCTGGTCATTCATGTTTCTTAGAGTGCTGCTGCCTTTTTTTAAGCGATCAAAGCAAATCCTGGTTCCAATAGAAAGAGCCCTCTTGGGGCTGTCAGAGCTCCCATCTACTCAGTCCTGGATGTATTATGCTTACCTTGTACTCATTTTGAGTCTCACGGAATCCCCCCACATTGTGGGTCTACTGGGAGTTCCGTGCTCCTGGGAATCCTCAAGAATGCTGTGTGCAAATGGGGCCCACAGGTTGAGTGTCCATGTAGCTGGCCCTTCCTGTATCAGGGGAAGCTGCTGGACTGCCAGAAGCCTCCTGCACATGCTATGGAGGAACCCAGTTCACGGCAGGGTGGACAATGCCAATAGCGTATTCATGCAAAGTAGTTTCCTTGAAACTATTGTGATGCACTTGTTTCAAACTCTGTTGAATTCATATCATTTTAGAAACAGTGAATCTCTTGAGTGCTCCCAGCTTCATGAGGAGTACCTTTCAGATGGGCCTTTGAGACTTCCAGGCTGAAGCTTGAACCAAGTACTCATCGTCAAATCAATTTCTATATCTCTTAAAATTTTGTCTGTCTTTCTCCCAGGATTTCCAGCAGGAGAGCTGCAGAAGCCTTTTTTTTGGGGAACGGAATATCCTCGGTAGGTAAATTAATGAAAAAACCAGTTATTGACAAGTAAGGAGGAACATGCTGCTTTGGCTGAGAGTAGAATATAAAGTCACAAAAACAAAAACCAATGCCAGTGGTTGTTCAGCAATAGGAGAGCATGGAACCTGGTGTGGGTCAGTCGTACTTTCCTCATTTTAGGAATTTTTTTCCTGATTCTTTTTACCAGGGTGTGTGACTGGACAGCAAAGGCAGAGTCCACACAGGGGACTTTAACCTTTGTGCATTTATTCACTCATGCATTGACTTATAGGACAAATATGTGGACCTCAAAGGATTGTTGGGATTTGAGTTGATGGTGATGGGTCTAAAACCATGGAAGAAATGGAAGAAATAATGTGAGAAAAGAAAAGTACCTATAGAAAGCAAAGATTTTGTTTGGTTGGTCCAATTAGTATACAAAGGGAAATAGTGGAAAGGGCATCTACAAAAGAAGGTTGATGTTTTATATTGGAAAGCTCTAAGTGCCAGGTAAGGAGCCGTCATTAATGAGCAATAGAAAATATTGAAGTTTTTGAACAGTAAAGATTATCAAATTTGTCTTTAAAAATAAAACCTTGGTAGTTATACAATAGGCCAAAAACTGATACTTTCTGAAGTTAGAGATATTGAAGGTCATTAAGATCAACAGATGGTAATTCACAATTTACATATAGTGAGAAGTCTGATAATATTCATTGTTGGTAATATTACCACTTTTATTATGTGCCTTTCTTTGTTCTGGTGGTTTAATACACAGAAAATTTAGTCTTGATTGTAGACATTTAGTGTTTTCTGTCTTGGTTTGAATAAATGACAATTTAAATATTATTTGTAGGTTAAAAACATAGGGGATCACATACATATAAAAATAAGAGAAATATGGTAGCAATGTTTTGATTTGTGCTTCCTCAAAAGCAGATCCTGTGACAAGGATTTGAGTTCAAGGAGTTGTTATGGGAGGTGACACCAGGAAACAGTGGCGGAGGAGTGGAGAAGTGAGACAGGGTGGGAAGGAAGCCAATAATGAATGTTTTAGGAGTTTACTGTGGCTGCCATATTTTTCCCAAACTTACTGGCTTATAGTTCTGTAGGTCAGAAGTCCAACCCTGGTCCCACTGGGCTAAACAACAGGTGTTGGCAGGGCTGTATTCCTTTCTGGAAGCTCTAGGGAACAATCTTTTTTCTTGCCTTTTCTAGCTTTTAGAGTCAGCCCACATTCCTTGGCTCATGGCCCCTTCCTCTGTCTTCCAAACTAGCAGAGTTGCATTTCTGTGACTGTTGATTCATATTCACATCTCTTTCTGACTCTCCTCTTCTGCCTTCTCCTCTACTTTGAAGGACCCTTGTGATTATATTGGCTGCTCCCAGATAATCTAGGACACTCTACATATTTTTCACTCAGCTGATTAGCAACCTTAATTCCCCTTTGCTACATAATAACATATTCATGACTTCTGGGGGTTAGCCTGTGGACTTCTTTTGGGAGCCATTGTTCTACCTACCACACATGTGTTACAAAGCCAGTTACCACTGTGACCAGCTGGGGCTCAGCCCTGGCAAGGACCTGTAGAACTTGCTTCAGTGTAATCCTACTGCAGGGGCAAGGGAGCTGGGGCATTTATCAACTCCCCTTCCCTCACTGATTCGAGGGCTGCCAACAGCTGTAATAACTCTCTGGCATTGCCCAGTCTAGGCCCAGAGGGCCCTAGTAGCCAGAAAAAGTCCTTAGGCAAGTAGTTTCAGGTGTTGGCATTTGGAAGCTTTTGGATTGTGTGCTCAAAACTGGCGAGTGGTGAGGAGACAGGAGCAGGCTTCAATAAAGACTACTGTAGGGAAGCACTGCGTTAGGATAAATGAAAATTCTTGGTTTGTATTAGCCAAATCCATTAATATCATCCCAGTCCTCAGCTGCATAGTTTTTATTGGTGTTTAGATATTTGGAATCAATTTTCCCTATTATTAAGATTAAAAATTTGCAGATATTTCTATAAAAATAAATATCTAGGCTAAATATTGTCTAAATTCTCTTCAAACTAAAAATGTGCTCAAATTCGTTGATTCTGCTTATCATTAGCAATTTGAGTGCACTTCTCTTATTATTGTTAGGTACCTGGAGACTTGGAAATCATCTGGTTAGGTTTTGAAGTTACTGATTAAGTGAATTTGTTTATTGGGTCTGTGAGCATGGTTTTCTGATATAAAAGTCAAACTCATAGGAACCTGGGAAATAATATTAGTGTCTGTTAGCTCAACCTTATGCTGAGCCATATTTGGTATTTGGGTGGGAGAGAGATTTGTATTTTTTATCCTAAAGAATCTATGTCCTCACTGAAGCCTTCCACCCTGTATTACTATATCTGCTCCGTGAGTAATTAATTATTAAGCGTCTTTTGGGTATTTGGCATTGGAAAGATCGAGATGCTGGAGACATGGGAATCGCAGTCCACTGAGATGGCTTTCCATACATCTGTTTTGGATGGATAGCCTCCAGATTCAGCCAATGGGCATCCTTTGTGTTCACACTGGTCAGCTTTGTTCTTGCCTGAATGTTGGCTCTAATTATGGGGATATCAACAAGCTAAAGTGTTTTTAGAGGAATGAATCAGGACTATCAGTAGCCCAAGACAACATCCCAAAGTGTGTGTGTTCCACAATGCAGTAATAGAGGTCGGTCATCCTGCCTTTTGTTTTGGAGAATTACAATACTCAGCAGCATAAAAATTTCAAAGAAGTTCCGCAAGAAGGAAACCTATTGAAATGTGTTTAATCCAGCGGTTCCTAAACTCCCCCTTTCCCTATGTTTTGGGAAATGCTGGTCTAGAATCCCTGACTAAAGAAAAGCAATTGAAAGAACTTGAGGACACTGGAGGGGGAACCTTGTAAGTGTCTTTACATTACTGAAGGAGAGTGAAGGTGGTAGACAACTTGCTGTACTCAGGGGGACAGAGGGTATTCAGCTAGAGACTCTACTAGACCAATAGATAGCAGCTGTAGGAAAGATTCCAGTTCAGTGTTAAGGAGAGCTGTTTTATTTAGAACCTCCTGAGGGAACGGTCCCCCTCATGAGCCCCTGCTTATTGGAAATGCCCAAAGAGAAGTCCTGTGACTTTTGGAATGGGACTGTGGACTAGGTAGGCCCTTGCCTCTGATTCAGGCAAAGTGGCCCTTCCTTGTTGACAGCATGAGATCATGGTTGCTCCAGACAGAAGTCTGGCTGTCCTCTTCTTGACAGCAAAATCCAGTGCATGTGTTAAACCCATGGGGCAGTAAGAACAGAAGAGCAACTGAGTAGGTGCAAAAATTGTCATCTTTGCCATTTCATTTTTGGAAGGCTGGAGTTTTCTCTGCAGCAGTCTTCTTGTTTCTGGCTAGCCAGTCACATTTCAAAAAGCATGCGAGTTTACTTATTTATTTTTATGACATGCTAATTATGTCATATGGCCGTTGGTAATTATGGCCGTTGATAAAATGGAAGATGTGAACTGAGCATTATGAAATATGATCATTGTAAGGCTCAGTCATAGAGAATTACCTTTTCTTGTCTCCTGTCCAAAGGATCACGATTATGTGACTGAGTATTGGAACTTGGAATAATTCAGTCATTTTATGAGTTCTCTATTACCCTTTGCAAAGAGGAAGCTTTTTGGACCAGCTTTTCTTTTTTTTTTTTTTTTTTTTTATATATGAAATTTATTGTCAAATTGGTTTCCATACAACACCCAGTGCTCATCCCAAAAGGTGCCCTCCTCAATACCCATCACCCACCCTCTCCTCCCTCCCACCCCCCATCAACCCTTAGTTTGTTCTCAGTTCTCAACAGTCTCTTCTTAAGGGACATTTATTGTAGAGCAGTTCCTGTAAGCTTCCATTGTTCATCGCTGAAATTCCTCCGGTCAACAGCATTGACCAAGGGTGGTAGAGGACTGAGTCCTGTTGTCAGGGCTGAGAGGTATGAGAAAACGAAATGTCACAGGCTGCATAGTGACAGCTACTGCTGCAGAAACTAGCACAATGTAAAATTACAAGTTTGTCCCACACTGCCATGATAGCTCCATGATTGAAATGCATAATTTTACTCTTACTTCTTTAATGAAGGTTTGCAATGATGTAAAAACAGTAGGAAGCGTTTTTGTTCAAATGCAAATTACCTTGCAGGAAAGAAATAACAAAGGAAAGAATTGCCACCTAGGGGAAAAATGAAATCTTAAAGCACTTCTTTGGTTATAGTTGAGACAAACAATTAACATGTTAAGGATCATAATGTCCTGTAATAACATGTTGCTTCAAATATTCTCATTCTTTCCACTTATGGGTCCTTTCCATTTGCTGGATGACTTTGATGTTGCATGTCAGGAGGCAACTGCAAAATATTTCCAGCATAATTGCAAATCTCAGAAAGAATCCTCATAACAAGGATTTTAAGTTGTCTTTAATCCTCATCCACGTGGTAAATAACTAAATTACCTGTAGACCTATCACTTGCATGAAATGGTAAAGTTAATTAACCAATTAAATGATTGTTACTTTTTTACTGTATACTAGGTACAGAGAATTGAGTAGTGGATCAAACTGATAAGGGTTTGGCCTTCATGGAACTTAGAGTTGAGAGAGGTCCCAGACACACACACACACACGCACACACACACACACACACACACACACATGCACGTGCACACGCACCTCAGCCTCTCCTTAGAACTTGTTAGAAATGCAAATTTTTGAGTCTTATGACAGACCTATTGACCCAGAATCCTGGAGGGAGGGGAGGGCACGTGTGTGTGTACACACACACACACACACACACAAACATCCAGAAGCCTCCTTATGGATTTCTTCATATATCATTAATATATTGTTTCAGTTCTCTACTGCTACCTAACAGCACCACGAAACAACCACTGTTGGCTTATGATTCTGCAATTTCCAAATCTGGTTAAGTCTTCATGATCTTTGCCATTCACTCATAAGCTTGTCTTTCACAGAAGCAAGGGAATGTGACTACCTTTGAAAGCAGTGATCTCTTTCAATCTCTGCTCTGTTCCTTTTTTATGATTGCATTTGGGAAACAATTTAACTTCTAAGTCTATAGTGACTTTTCAACAGTTCTCAGATAAAAAATAAATGGTATGTTTACAGACAGGGTCTTCTCAAACCCTGCTGCTGCTTTGGATGTTTATAAATATAAAGTGGCTAGAGCCGATACAGAATCATAGAAACCTTAGGGCTAGAAGGGACTTTAGAAGCCATCTCTTTTGCATCCCTAATTTCATACATGGTCATTGTGGCAGTATTACAATTGATTTTCTTTGTCCATTTCAATGAGAAGGGTGTGTTTAGATTTTTTCTTTTTTTTACAATTTTGAGGGTGTGGTTATAAGTTGCGGTTACTAGAAAACAGATTATCTTGGCTTTTCATTAAGAAAAATCAAACGATTATGCTCTGAGGTTTATGCTTCTAATTTTCTCCAAATTATATATTTGTACCATAGATCTCTGAGTTATGGAGCTATAGGAGTAATTGTTGGACATGAATTTACACATGGATTTGATAATAATGGTAAGTACTGATTCATTGTATAAGCGGCTGCTTTTATGATAATGTTGATGATACAGATGTTAATTGTTGCTATTATCTTTGCATAGTGGCATCACCATAGATTGAAGATTATCCAAAGCAGTGTGAGTGCTGATTGAAAAATTTCCCCCATGCCTTGCTGTGATAGCTTGCCATAAATAAATAATTGTTCCCGTTGGTGATGGAATAGCATGAAAAAAAAAAGACCTTGTAATTTCACTGAAATTATCTTTGCATTTAGATCAGGATTGCTTTAGCTGCCATGATAGTTACAGGAATTGCTTCATAGCCTCTCCCCTCTGTCACTTCTTTATTCACCATCTTGAGATGCTCTCCCTGGAGGTGTGAGCTCTGCTCTGAAGATGATTATACATGCTGCCAAGTTAGGATTCAGCCAGTTAGGACTCCAGAGCTTGGCTGCCTGATTCCTTTATACGATTTCAAGGATTATGCAATGCTTAAGCTGTGTTTTTCTCTATGCTGGCATATCTTTAGATTTTTTTAAAAAGGCTATGCTTTCCTAATAATGCAAAATATAGAATATGCTGTGTATCCTGATGAGATTTAAGCACAAGAGCAGAATGTGCATAAACTAAAGAAATTATTGCTCCTTGTAGGTTGTCATCATTTGTAATTGGCACTCCTTTCTCCTTTACCTTTGAGCATTATTGGAAAGCCACATGAAACCTCTGAAATTTATGAATTAGTAGCAAATGATAATCGTATCCACATCTGCACAGTGACAGGCAGATGCAAGGAGCCGACTGGCACAAGGCAACATTGTATAGAAAGGACCTTTTTCTTCCATGTCTGTGGTGTCTCCACCATCCTTTCCTGGATGCTGACCGGAAAGCCTGGTTCTCCTTCTGGGCAATTCTTCCTGTGCTCCCACCAACCCTTCCTGAATCATCTAGGGTTTTGGTTCCCCTGGCCTCTCCCCTCCCTGTTAAAATATAGCTACCTTGTGCTCCTCTCAATTTCCGGAGCTGCACTTTCTGTCTTTCCATGATTGGTTTATCTAAGAGGAGTGTCTTAGCTAAGAAACATAACCCAGAAGTGATCTCTTGGTTCTGGGCCTTTCTTCCTGGGAAATTTAAGTACAGTTCTCGCTGTGAATCTTTTGGAGGCCTTCTGAAGTCATTCTCCAAGGACATAATCTAATGATGCCAATTTCAGTCTGTAACCAGTACTTAGAACAGAGAGTCACATAGTTAACTACATGCCCTGTAACTGTTTAATGATTGGTTGGATAGTGTGTGGAAGACAACGACTCCGTGCCCTTCCAGGGGTTAGTGGTAATGGCATCCACTCCTGCTGAAGAGCCTTGGATTATTCCAATTAACACCTTTGCTTCTAGGACTTTCTTGTAAGCCCACTGAAGAGTTCTTTGCATAATTAAATTCAAACCAATAGTAATCTTGAGTATGAAGACAGTCTAGATACACTCAGACTTCTTTTGAAGGGTGTAGAGAAAATGAAGAGTGAGCCTATGGCAAAAAAGCATGTATAACTGATCTTTTTTTCCATTATGTTTTGGAGATTTCCATTCTTGTTCCAAGTTCTCTTTTTAGAGCAACCTTCCTTGTCCAAGCAGGACAGATGGGCCTTCAATGCACACTGATGGCTGTGGAATGATTCATAACAGAGGTTTTATGTGTGTCTCGGCTCCTAGCAACTTGGAGGAAACACATTCCTACAGGGTTGAGTCAGGGGCTACGGTCTCCCAGTGTGAATGACTCATTAGACTGTTCCCATGGACTGTTTGGAATTTCACTGGTCCTGGTGCTCCGTCTCCCTTCATGGACTTTCTGAATGAAGCCATTTCGTTTCATAATCCAGAGAACAGTTTGGGTCACATCAGATGAAAACAAAGAATTCAAGATTGGTTCAGAATGTGCATACCAAAAGTTGATGAATCTTATTTTTAAAATGTTCTTTTTACTTAGAAAGAACTTCCTCTTTCTCCTTCCCCCCCTTTCTACAATTAACCTGTGACACTGGAGAGAAGGTAGGAGCTGCTCCCAGGAGTGCTCCGTTCTACTGGGACTGCTTTCTCAGGGCCTATTGAATTGAGGGAAAGGGGAAATGGAGAAATTGGTTTCCATAAATAGTACAAATATCTTTTTTTTCTTTTTATTTAAATTCCAGTTAGTTAACATACATTATAGTATAGTTTCAGGTGTACATCACCAGGTGCTCATCAAGACAAGTGCCCTTCTTAATCCCAATCACCTATTTCACCCCTGCCCCACCTATCTCCCCTCTGGCAACCATCAGTTTGTTCTCTGTAGTTAAGATTCGTCTTGGTGTTTGCTTCTCTCTCTCTTTTATTTCCTTATGATCGTTTGCTTTGTTTCTTAAATTCCACAGACAAGTATTTGTCTTTCTCTGACTGACTTATTTCACTTAGCATTATAATTTCTAGCTCTATCCATGTCATTGCAAATGGCAAGATTTCATTCTTTTTTTTATGGCCGAATAAGATTCCACTGTGTGTATGTGTATTGTGTCTATATCTTTATCTGTCTGTCTGTCTGTCTGTCTTCAGCCATTCATCCATCAGTGGACAATTGGGCTGTTTCCATAATTTGGCTATTGTAGATAATGCTGCTGTAAACATTCGGGTGCATGTGGCCCTTCGAATTAGTATTTTTGTATTCTTTGGGTAGATACCTAGTAGTGCAATTGTTGAATCATAAGATAGTTCTATTTTTAACTTTGTGAGGAACTTCCATACTGTTTTCCACTGACTGCACCAGTTTCCATTCCCACCAACAGTCTAAGAGGGTTCCCCTTTCTCTACATCCTTGCCAATACCTGTTGTCTCCTGTCTTGTTGATTTTAGCCATTATGACAAGTGTGAGATGATCTCATTATAGTTTTGGTGTGCATTTCACTGATGATAAGTTACGTGGAACTATGTGGAGTTATCTTTTCATGCGTCTTTTGGCCATCTGGATGTCTTCTTTAGGAAAATGATGTAATCCCTGTGAAAATACCAACAGCATTTTTTCACAGAGCTAGAACAAACAATCCTAAAACTTGTATGGAATCACAAAAGACTCTGAATAGCCAAAGCAGTTTTGAACAAGAAAAGCTAAGCGGGAAGCATCATAATTCCAGACTTCTGAAGTTATATTACAAAGCTGTAGCCATCAAAACAGTATGGTACTGGCACAAAAATAGACACATAGATCAATGGAACACAATAGAGACCCCAGAAATGAACCCACAATTATATAGTCAGTTAATCTTTGACAAAGCAGGAAAGAATATCCAGTGGGGAAAAAGGCAATCTCTTCAACAAATGGTTTTGGGAAATCTGGGCATCTATGTGCAGGGAAAACAAAAATGAAACTGGACCACTTGCTTACACCATACACAGAAATAACGTCAGAATGGATTAAAGACCTAAATGTGAGATGTGAAACCATAAAAATCCTAGAGGAGAACACAGGTAGTACAAATATCTTTTAATTTTCCTTTCTGCTAGGTAGAAAATATGATAAAAATGGAAACCTGGATCCTTGGTGGTCTACTGACTCAGAAGAAAAGTTTAAAGAAAAAACGAAGTGCATGGTTAACCAATATAGCAACTATTATTGGCGGAAAGCTGGCTTAAATGTAAGTACAACTGTGGTGAAGGAGCATCTCATTTTTTCTCTTTTGGACATTAGCTTCATTTAGCCCATTGGTTCTTGGTGTGTGGTTTCCAAAATAACAGCCTCAGCCTCTCCTTGAAACTTGTTAGAAATGCAAATTCTTGAGTCTTATGACAGACCTATTGACCCAGAATCCTGGAGGGAGGGGAATGCTGATAGTCAGTCTGGCTGGCTGTCTGTTCACAAACCCTCTGCTGACTCTGATTCAAGCTTGAGTTTGAGAATTACAGGCCTAAACATTAGTTTGTTTTCCTAGATTCAGACAAATATAGAAAGTCTTGTTGCAAACACAAACAGTACAACTCTTATAAATCTATATTCCATATCATTTAAAAAAATTTCCTTCCAAACTACTACTTTAGTTTAATTCGTTGAAATCTCACTATTTTGAATTAAATGACTCTTAATTGGTTAAGAGATGTTAATTACAGACGTTGGAACAAAAGAAACGTACTTTTAAAATGCTGCTTTTTTTCTTAGGTATACATACATAAATTTCCATGAAGACAAGAATGCGACTTTATACATGCTGCTTGTGTGCGTCAGATTCTGCTCCTTTCTTGTCTTCATGTCCGTCCCCTTCCCCTTTCCCTGTCATCACTCTTAGCTTGCCTACCTGTAATTCATCTTAATCACCCTGGTACACTGTTTCCCATGCTCATGTAGAGACAGACATGCATACACGCACTCCTTTAGTTCATGGTTTTCAGTGACTGTCCAGAAGTCCACATTGTGAGTGTGTCTAACGTACTCAACTAACCTCTGGTTGAGAGAGGTTATGCTTTGTCTCCAATTCTTTTCCCACAGCAAATGCTGCTGTCATAAACACTGTCATTAGGTTCATGTTCTTTTTGTCCATATAAAATAGGTTCCTACTGTCACCAACAACTTATATTATTTCATATTCTCACAAGTGATATACGAAAGAGCATTTCTCTATTCAGTTATTTTCTTGTCAATATATAGAACTTTTAAAAAATATTACAGATGTTAAAATTTTATCATCCACATTACAGTGTTTTCCCCCAAGTATATTACTCATCCATTGGATTTTATATATGGCATCTTTGACCTACAAAAATTAAACATTTCTATATAGCCAAAGATACCTATTTCTCTTAAAAAATAGTTTCTGTATTTCCACTGTATGTCATATATATAGTTTCCCAGCCTTTTGGGAAAATTTTTGTTGTTATGTTATTTTACATTTAAATCTTGATGCATGTAAAACTTATTTTTTTATGGAATTTAATATGAGTGATTACTTTTCTTCTGATAGTCCATTGATCCACCATCACTGATTAAAAGACTTTTTTTTTCTCACTGAATTGATTATTTGTCAAATTTTAGAATCTTATATATATTGACATCAATTTTTGGATTATGTGTTCTACTCTGCTGGTCTATTTGTTGATTTCTTTACCAAGCCCTTATTACCATTGTTATAAGGATTGTTCTGGTATGTGTCAATATAAACTCTCCCTCACTGTTCTTCTTTTACATGGTTGCCCATTCTCAGGCAAATATACTTCTGTAGTTGGTCCAAGATCATGTTACCTACAGGTTACCCTGTGCCCCAAAGAAAATCCCATTGGGATTCTAAGTTAAATCACAGTTACTGTATGGAATTGACATATTTATTATACAGTCTTCTTGTTCAAGAACATGGTATGCCTTTCTGTCTGGTTCTTATTTTACATTTTCAAACACAGTTTTATAGTTTTCTCTTTGTAGTTTATCTCCTGTATATTATTTTTAATTCTTTTTCCTTTTCCTTATTTTGCTGGTTTGATCAGGTTTTCATTTCTGCTCCCTATATGAATTTTTCTTTGTAGTTTTTTTATTGCGTTTTCTACCCCTGCTTTCATAATTATAAGAAACAGATTTCTCACATTGTATTTGACCGTAAGAGGCCAATAGTGAAGAATTGTTGGTAGGGTATGGATCTGCAGGAAGCCCTCACTCTAAAACACACATGTGCACCCTGTATGCCCCTAATTCGTATGGTTAAGGGTACAACACCTAACAGGAACAAGAGACCACACAGAACTGACTTGGTCCTCTACTTCTTCAACCATATTCAGCACAAGGAACACTGCTCTTTATCCAGGCAGAGAAACCAGAGGCTGTATTCTTGAATACTTTCTGTAGCTCTTTCATCATTGTTCTGGAAAGCCATTTCTGTGTGTGTGTGGGTGTGTGGGTGTGTATGTGTGTGGGTGTATTTTAATATCTACAACTCTGTCATGAGAAAATGTAAAATGGGTGCTTCTGTTTATCAGTATTCAATTCAGGAGTTATCACATTGTGAAAATCCATCTAGAATATATGTTGCTTCAAGAAAAGTGTAGGGGAGCGAGGGGTTCTAGAGTCAGCTAGAGGTTCAAATCTTGATTCAACCAGTTACAAGTTTTTTGAACTTGGGAAAGTTGCTTAATGTTCCTGATTCTCAGTGTCTTCATCTGTGAAATGGGTCACTGTTCCTGAACTCATTCATTTGTTGTAAGAATTAAATGGCTGCCGTTATGTAAAGCACCAGCATGATGGCTGACGTGCAGTAAGTGCTCAGTAAATTGTTGTTACTATTACTAATGCTTTGTCACATACTCATAGGTGCCCCATCCTACAGAAAAACAAAGCCAAAGTTTGTGGGACTGAAAACAACAACAACAACAACAACAACAACAACAACAAAAACCAATAGAAGAACAGTTTTCTTAGAGGAAGGGAATGTATATTTCGTGATGATTGTTATATGCAGGCATGGTGGTAGACTTTTCAACCAGCCGAAACAAATGTAATCCTCATACTGGTCTTGAGAGGTGTACATATTGCTAGCTTATTTTACATATAAGAAAACTGAGGCTCAAAGAGATGAAAAACCACAGTAGAGTCTAGATTAGAGTGAGTCTGAGATCCACATTCTTTTCACCATATCATGCTGTGGTTCTCACATTCTAAGCTCATTTTATTCCTAGCTAGTGTGTTGGGAGGGAGACTATTCCACAGCATCCTTTTGGGCTAAAATGTCAGACACTGAAATTGAATTCTGGCAAATGTGTACCTTTGTCACAAAGACGATAGAAAGGGGATGCCCGCCCGGGCAAAATCCGCTCAACTGTCAGAAAACAGCTTCAATCTCTATCCCAGAGGAGAGGGGGCGGCTTCCTTTGTGAGTATAAAGGGCCACAGTTTATTTTCTGGCTCCATTTATGGATGCTGGTCTTCCATGCCTGAGTCCATTGCAGTGAACTGGGGAGTGCTCCAGGGGAGTGCCACAGAAGCAGACTATTCCCACCTGGTGAGAGGCAAACCTAGGGCCATATGGTCTAAGGAAGTGGTCTAGAGTGAGGGGGAGGAGCCAGAGGGGTGAGGCCACTCCTCAAACCTCCAATTTTGATAAAGCTTAGAGAAACAATGAAGGAAATTAAATATGGGCATGAGTGGGTATAAGCAGATGCACTGGAGTCAAGAGCAGTTGAGATTTGAGAAGGTAGCATGTTAGGAGGAAAAAACTCTAGACACAGACTTTTTGGGTTTGAATCCCCGCGAAATGTGGGCAGTTGATTTAATCACTCTGTTTTAGGTTAGGTGCTCCAGAAACAAAGCCCAAGAAGGGGTTTCTTAGGTAAGGAATTTATTTAGGAAGTAGTTTCAGGAGAGACCTGTATGAGGGTAAAGAAAACCTGTTGGTTTCATGAGTTTAGCCTCAGCCTGATCCAGGTTCTGGAGCATGAATCGCACCATAGGAATTGTTCAGCCGGGGGCTAGAGGGCTAGGCAGTTCTAACTGCTCATCAGTCAGTTACTGAGAGTTGGGGTATCCCCTCCCAGGAATCTTCAGGTGTGGTGAGTCCCCTAAGCTAAGCTTAATCTTTCTGAGCTGGTAGCAGTTGTAGGAATGGGTGTATAGTCCTGATGGAAAAGGGGATCTAGTGTGACACCAACGACATGTGCAACAACGACATCTGTAGGCATCTGCTACACACTCTGTTCTTTCCTTATTTGTTAAACAAGGGTGGTGGTAACAGCACCTAATTTGTAAGATTGTTGTCAAAGAAGAATATATGTGAAGCCAGAGTGGGAACTTAGAGGACTGAAGCTAGGAGAGTCCTGGGTGATTACGGAAATTAATGCTCTCCGAAGATTGGTTTTTATCCATTGGTATTGCTTGATACCTGGGTGCTTGGGCTAGCCGAAAAGTAAAGAATGGGTAGGACCCATGGCTTTGAAGTTTACAGCAGGGTGTATTCATTTCCTGTTGCTGCTATCACACATCACCACAAACTTAATGGCTTGAAACGACACAAACACTATTTTGCAGTCCTCAATGTCTCGCTCAGGTCTCAGTGAGCTGAAATCAGGGTGACACAGAACTGTTTTCCTTTCTAGCTGCTCTGGGGGAGAGTCTGTTTCCTTGGCGTTTCTTGCTTTTAGAGGCTGGCCACATTCCTTCACTCATGGTGCCTTTCTTCTAAACCAGCAGTAGCTGGTCACATCTCACATTGCATCACTCCTCCCGTTTCCTCTATCTATATGGACCCTTGTAGTTACATTAGACCTACCTGGATAATGCAGGCTAATTCTCCAGATCCTTTACTTAATCATATTTTACAATTTCCTTTTGCCACAAAAGATAACATTTTCACAGGCTCCAGGAATTTAGGACATAGACGTCTTCGGCAGGGATTGACAACCTTGGTCTGCAGAGGGCCAGGCAGTAAGTGATTTAGGTTTTGTGGGCCATAGGTCTCTTTTGCAACTACTTAACTAGGCCACTGTAGCAAGGGGAGTGCCCCAGACCGTATGGACACAGATGGGCATGGCTGTGTTCCCATAAAACCTGAATGAAGGACACTGAATTTGAATTTCATCTAATTTTCATATGCCACAAAATATTCCCCTTCTTTGGATTTTTTTTCCCCTATGCACTGAGAAATGTAAAATCCAGTTTTACCTCACAGCCTGTACAAAAATGAGCGGCAGGTTAGATTCTGGCTTGTGGGCTGTATTGGTTTGGAATGTTTTTTTATCTTAGCCTATTTAGGGATTTAAGAAACAATCTTCAAATGTTTGGAGGAATTTCTTCCCCGTGCTTGGCTGCTTATCATACATATTGCAAACCTTGACCTTGTGGAATGTGCTACTTCTGTTTGATTTTTGTCCCCCATGAGAACTACCCTCCTTTTAATTTTTCATGGAAGTTGCTGAAGGGAAAATGGTGATGGTTGGTCTTGAAGTTTTGTTCCTTTGTGGATGGTAAATTTTTGGAAACAGAAGCACACGGAAAAGACTCAAATTATATGAATTAATCAGAGAAAGTCATTTGTGTATTGACATTTCAACTTTTTCTCCATTAAACCCGAGTCACTCAGAGTATTGTTAACATTTTATTGGAGCTGGCTAAATTGGTAAGATACGGAGGTGGGGGAGAAAGAAATGCGTAGCATAATAAATAGAAATTAGTGTATTCAGGAGCACCTTGCTGGAGTTCGTTTGCCATCTCACAATATATTATGACTACCCTAGGATTTATTGAATGTAATTTTCTCTGGAAAATATGGCACTTTTTCTTGCTATCGTATTTATGCCTTCTGCTGAATGATAGTTGGCTGTGAAACACTCTTTTTTTTTTTTTTTTCTTTTTGTTAGGTGAAGGGGAAGAGGACCCTGGGAGAAAATATTGCTGATAATGGAGGTCTGCGGGAAGCTTTTAGGGTATGCACTGCAACATATTTGCTGTGATTTTTAAAATGAAACTATGGAACGCCATGTGGGTGCACCTCAATTTACACTACACACATATTCTTGAGGAGTTAGATTTCTGTAATTTCTGTAAATAGAATTATATTTCCACATTGACTCTGTCATACTCTATTATATGGATAGAGCTGCATTTCTTTTTTTCTTTCTTTATGGGATATAGAGTTACCCTAAAGAATAATATTTTTTGTGAAGAATCATGTATTTAAAGGATGGTTTTCAGCAAATGCGTTCACAATAATATCAAAGCATGTTCCAGAAATCTCCTCAGGGCTATGTTCATATGAGTTTTCCTTGAGTACCCGGTCTCTATAGCCCATCTTGCAATTTTCTCTTAAAATACCAAGCTTCTAAATGATGGCCAGAGGCTAGTGGTTCTCATACAGTTGGCCAGTAACAGTCCATAGTAAGGTTTTCATCATCCACTGGTCTTTGCTTAAATAAGAAACATTAAGGATGATGTGGAAAGATTTTCATAAAGGTAAATGCATTTAATGTAAAGACCAGGCTGTTATTCTGAGGTTACATCCTTCCTGTATTCTAATTAAAATATATTTTATAAAGTGATGGTGATTGCAGATGATAGTTTTCCCTTTTACTTGGAAAAATAAAAATTTGGCCCCAATATGTTGACCCCAACATTTATTTCCAAAGTCCTTGCCATTGTGTTAGAGAAGGAATAGCTTTTTGTGTGTGTGTGGGGGGGGGGGGGGGAGGTATTTAACGTGTGAATGCTTTGGCCCAGCTTCTCTGTATCTGTTGAGTATCAGGTCTTTTAGCAGGTGAACCTGCCTCACTGTTAAGCAATACGACATTGATTTGCATTTCCAGAGGTTGGTGTTGTTAAAGGAAAACTTTACAGGATGCATTTTGCACATGGTGGAGGATATATTGAGTATCTCTGCACTGGATGAAACAAGAGAAGAGCCACCATTGCAGAGGATCATCCATTCTACTTCTCTCTCCAGGCTTACCGAAAATGGATAAATGACAAGAGGCAGGGACTTGAGGAGCCTCTACTACCAGGCATCACATTCACCAACAACCAGCTCTTCTTCCTGAGTTATGCTCATGTGAGTAGGCCAAGGAAGGGGCATCAGAGGTGAAATGTGAGACTTTGGCTTGCTCCCATGGTGAAAGGTTTGGAACGAAAGTTGAATGGCATAACTTTGATTTGAGCTGAAATTTTATCTTGCTGCTTATTTCCGGGACAAATTTCATCTTCTTAATATTCTGGGGGACATAATTAATCAACTGATTGAGTCAGGGTATTTTGGTATTGTTTATCAAGTGGGTTACCAGCCCTGTGGTAACCACTTATCATTTCTTTAATATATCCTGACTTCTTAAAGTATGCACTACTTCCTATAACCTTTTCTGGTGATTGGCTTTCATGGCCCTGCCCTCTGCTCTGTTTCTCCTGTTCCTTTGCCTCATGGGCTGACAGTATCCCACCTCTCTCAACCTGCGGGGGACCCACAAGGCTGTGTTCCCTTGGTCTCAAGAGTCAGAAGAGTACGTGGAGGCTGCTAGAGCTGAAAACAACAATAGAAGCTTATGTCACAAGTGTGTAGGCCTCATTTTCAAAGAAGAGATGGGTTGATGAAGGTTCTGATGCATGGCTTCACAGTGGGCAATGTAGATCTGTATGCTCAAAACTAGACCAAAGTTGTTAACAGCACAACCTTCTTTTCTTCACTCTTTGCATTGGCTCCTCAGTAAGCTGATTCATTCCACAGCTGCTTTGATTTTCCTTCTATGGCTTTTCTTCCTTTTTGATTTTCTCAGCTTCTTTGGCTGACTCTGGCTAAAGGATTCTCACCTTTCTGGGATCTTTTATTTCTTTTTTTAATGCTAATTTATTTTTAAGACAGAGAGCTGGGGAGGGGCAGAGAGAGAGGGAGGCAGATGATCTAAAGTGGGCTTTGCACTGTGACAGCCACAAACCTGATGTGGGGCTTGAATTCACGAACCGTGAGATCATGAACTGAGCCAAAGTCAGATGCTCAACTGACTGAGCCACCTAGGTGCCCACAGGATCTTTTATTTCTTAAAGCTGACATGACAACACTAAATAATCATTTATCGACATGACATTGGTAAAACTGGAGTCACTAAAATGACTTTCCTTTTTAGTTTTCCCATTGCTGTCAATACACCCCAAGTCTCTGGGTCTTCCTGGTTAGAAAATGTAGATTCTTTGGTCTTGATTTGTCTATCCTCGTTTTTATGACATGGGTCCCCAAAGCTGGATGTTTCATCGTTTTAACTCCTCTTCAGATTGAACCTCTTTTTCCCTATTAGCCTGTCTCATCATCTGTAGAGTAAGCCTTGATCTCTTTGACTCTGGATTATCCCAACAGCGTTATGGCATGTTTTTCCAACTTTGGCATCTTTCCACCACTGTCTGTCTTACATGACCCTAGAATACTACTTTGATTTCATTACGGACCTGCTGAAGGAACTGCAGTGGCTCCCAAGTGCCTGCCACATCAAAGCCAAACACGTCCAGCTGGCTTTCATAGTTCTGTTCAGTCTTACTCAACTGTACCCAACCAGTTCTGAGTTCCTGCAACTCTCCTAGACTCACCCTTAGCCAGCCAGGCAGGTGTCCTCACTTCCAACCCACACTGTTATGCCAATTACTGACTGTGTGGCTTTGCTTTTTATTTTCCTTCTATGATGTGACCCTCTTCATACTCCTCCCCCTGAGATTATTCAGTCTCATCTTTATTGTTCAGGATCCACGTCGAGTTCCACCTCCTCCAAATTTTCCACAGACTTCCCTGGGACTCCAGTACTCTCTCTCTCTCTTTTTTGAATCTCTAACTCCTTTACATTACATTCCCTTCATTACTATGCAGTTGAGTCCTTAATTGTTCTCAAACTGTTGAAGACTTTTAGTTTGTTTTTTTTTTTATTTTTTTATTTTTAAAAAAAATTTTTTTTAACGTTTTTTATTTATTTTTGGGACAGAGAGAGACAGAGCATGAACGGGGGAGGGGCAGAGAGAGAGGGAGACACAGAATCGGAAACAGGCTCCAGGCTCTGAGCCATCAGCCCAGAGCCTGATGCGGGGCTTGAACTCACGGACTGCGAGATCGTGACCTGGCTGAAGTCGGACGCTTAACCGACTGCGCCACCCAGGCGCCCCAAGACTTTTAGTTTTATATCCATAGCTAATCTTCTGGATCCTTATATTTCTTTGAAAAAAACCTTTTTTTGAGAGACAGACAGAGCATGAGTGGGGCAGGGGCAGAGAGGGAGACACAGAATCCAAAGCAGGCTCCAGGCTGTCAGCACAGAGCCTGACGCAGGGCTTGAACCCACGAACTGGAGATCATGACCTGAGCCAAAGTCAGACACTTAAGCGACTGAGCCACCCAGGCATCCCTGGGTCCTTATATTTCTTATGTATCTCCATAGCACCCAGCAAAGATGCTGGATATGTTGAAGATGCTTGACATTTTTAGATGAATTGTTTATAAAAGGTAAGACTAAGTAGCAGTTCCATTAAAGAGACTTCTTTGGGGTCAGTGCTGGGTCAGATATCTCAAGTAAGCACACACAATGTAGTTAGAAATTTCTAGAGCAGGGGTTGGCAAACTTGGACCCATGGGCCAATTATGGCCTGCTGTCCATTTTTGTAAAAACTGTTTTATTAGAAAACAGCCATGCTCTTTCCTTTATGTGTTGTGGGTGGCTGGTTTTGTGTTACTGTGGCCAAACTGAGTAGTTGAAACAGAGACCTTATGGTCTGCAAGGCCTAAACCATTTAATGTCTGCCCTTTTACAGAAAAAAGTTTGCCGACCTTTGATCTCGAGGACACAGTACAGTGTCCATTGGTTCTTACTTACTTAAAGTCCATCTTAGTTACATCCTAGTCCACAATATCTTTTTGGATGTAAGGTAAACCAACTGGTAGCAATATTATCTTCATAATTTTGAGATGTCTTCAAATAAAATTCCAAAGCATATCTGATTTATTTTAAACTAAAGAGATTTAGGGAAAAATGGAAAGCTACTTTATGTTACTATCTTGGAGGTATTCCTACTGACAGAAGGAGGAGATTTTCAGCCTTTGCACATTGGAATAAGTCTGCTTATAGGGACTAAAGTTATTTTCCCTCCTGAGAAGATACTTGGAAAACAGTAACAACCGTAATGTGTTTTCAGAAGCATCTTAAATGATATATGAAGCAAAGACAATACTGTAACGATGCTGTATAATAATGTAAGAATATAAGAAAAAAACAGAACAAGAAAAAATGAGGTAATAGAGAATGCCAGAAACAACTTCATCTCAACTAACTTCTGAGGAAATTAAGGAATCACATTACAAAAGCATCTTCACAGTCATGTTCAGATGGTTTATCTTCATCAAAAGCAATAGCATCATGTCACCTTTCCTGCTTCCTGTATCCTTGTACTTTCTGTGACCTGTTAATTCTTTTCTTAGACATTCTCTTTATCTTTCTACTTTTCTTCATTCCTGTTTCTACTTACTTAGTGGCCACTCATTGGGAACCTTCCTGAGGCCCATAAATACTCTTGGAACTAGTCTCTAATTTCCTCCTCCTGCTATGCACCCCTGCCAGATAATTCTTTTACAAATATGATTTTGTCATTTTCCTGCTCACAAACAGTGTTTAAATACAGTTTAAACCCTTGGCCTGTTGCTCAAGACTTCAGAAATCCGGCACCATCCTCTCTCCCTGCTGGCCTCCCACTGCTGCCCGTTATCCACCACGCATTATCCCTGCTCAATGTCTCGCTTTTTCTTTTCTCTCAAATATGTCTTTGCTTCCATTTTCTCCCACACTTAGAATTCCCCGCATCATTTCATGTCTCCTAGTTCTTTTCATACTTCAAGGCTATATCATGTTTCCAGACAAACTTCAAGTCAGGATTAAGTAGGTTATGGTGCAGGAACAAACAGTACAAAGACACTTTCTTTTGTGTTCCTGCTCCACGTCCCATGTGAAAGTGGGGGTTCAAAGTGGGACTCTGCTCCTAGTTATTACTCAAGGACCAGGGTTTTGGAATCTTTATCTCAACACACGCTCACATGTTCAGCATCGGGGTAGGAAAGAGAGATGAGGAAATGTCCACTGGATCTTAATGTAGCATCTTAAATTATTCTTAAGACTCTTAAAAACTTGCACTGGGTTTTTAAAGCTTCCACAAGGATGTGACATCTGTCACCTCTGCTTGCATGTGGTTGGTCAGAGCAAGTCACATTAGCTTTGCCTAACTTCAAAGTCCATGGAGAAATCTCCTCCTATCTGAGGCCCTGACTAGGGGTAAGGCAAGCAACGCACTTAGGGTGCAAAATACTAACTTCTCATGACCATACTCAATAAGGGATGATTGATTGATTTTTTTTTTTCCTGTTCGAATGAGTATGGTGGAATTTGATAAGGGCTATTCCAAGCATTATATTATTTGAGTTAATACATTGGTTGATTTCTAGGCTTATACACTATTCTCTTGATTTAAGAAATTTGTCTAGAGGGGCGCCTGAGTGGCTCAGTTGGTTAAGTGTCTGACTCTTGATTTCGGCTCAGGTCATGATCTCGCAGTTTGTGAGTTCGAGCCCCCATCAGGCACGCTGCTATCAGCATGGAGCCCGCTTTGGATCCTCTGTCCCCCCTCTCTCTGTCCCACTCCTGCTTGTGCTCTCTCTCTCTCTCTCTCTATCAAAAAAAAAAAGATAAACATTAAAGAGATTTGTCTAGAAACCTTCCTAATTTACTCAAGTTGTGGAGTTATGCACAACAATCAAACCTTCTACTCTGGGGATTAGAATAATGGATGTTACTCCTGATGAAGGTTTTATCTGATCTACTAAAACTGTCATCCACTGAGTCTAAAATTACTCTTCAGTATAATTTGGAGCAGTTAAGGTGGTAGGCAATGTGTAATCGGAATGGAAACATAATTACTGGGATTCTCTTCTCTTTTAGGTGAGGTGCAATTCCTACAGACCAGAAGCTGCCCGAGAACAAGTCCAAATTGGTGCTCACAGTCCCCCTCAGTTTAGGTAAATGGGCAAATCGGTGGTCCTAATTTTTAACTGTGCGTCTCCCACCTCCTCCCCAACTCAGCCATCCCAGTGCTGTACCACATAGGAGATCTGAACAAAAGCCCTTATTGTGAACAGCGATATCTCCATTTTGCAGACAGGAATATCTGACCAAACAGAACCGAGCATCTTTTCTTTCATTAATAGGAAGCTAGTTTAGTCAGAATACTTTCAAAAAAAATTTCTGTAGTAGGCATTTACTCATACCTCTCGTCTAGTGCTGTATCGAGATCTGTGAGATAGTACAAGACTCCAAAGATAATTTAGAATCCAGTTCATAGCTTTAGTATTAATTCCCATTTGTTATCTTCCAGGTTTTGAAAGGTACCAATCCACGGGTGCCAAAAGCACCATGGGTGCTCAATAAACTGGAATATTTGACTTATCCAGCCCCCTACTTTTTTTTGTCTGGGCCAGAAAATGTCTTTCTCCTTAGGCAAGGATGAGAGTTTATGTGCCTTAAAACACGTAGAGCTCTGGTTTATTTTGTGTCCTAGGATATCCTATTTAATGCCTCTTGTTCTTTCATGCAGTCAACGGCAGACATGAATGAATGCCCACTTTCTTAATAGTTCTGAACAGAAAAGAGGATGTATGGTGGTATTTAGCTATTAGAATTCATATCTAAAGTCAAAGCTCTACATTTTGGCTTTTAGTTTGAATCATTTTTTGAAAACAATTACTTCACGTGAAGGGAAGAGGATTATGAATTACAATCTTATTTGTCAGAATGTACAAAAAATAATAAGAAAAAAATAAAATTAAAGTTAGTATACTTACCCTGTGCTAGGTTTCTTGCACAGTTTGAGGGAGCTTTTCTGTAGTTGGGGTCAGAGAATTATAATGGGAAATCCAAGAAACCATAATAATTTTTATTGAGTCTTTGCCTAGAACATGTCATATATCTGGATATCTTTGCTTGATGTTTAAGTGACTCCATCAGCACAGTGCAGGAAAATTGCCTAAAATTTCTCCTGTATTTAAAAATCTTATTCCTAAAAGTTTGCTTTAGAAATGTTTCAGGAATTGACTATAAATTACCCAGTAGCATAAAAATCTAATCACTGTATTAGAAATTCTCCCCCACTGGGCTAAACTGTCAAAAATGCTGACACTCTCTAATGGACTAAAATATTCTCCCACTGGCGAATGGTACAAAGGAAGCCACACAGTAGATTAATTACTTAACAGATAAGATTGTAGAAACTAATTTCCTTTTAGTAACTAGTTGCTGGTAACGCTGGATTTTAGCTGATAATTTGCAGAGTATACTTACTAATTATCAGCTAAATTCTCTTTTTAACATTTGCCCAGGGTGAATCACACTATGAAATATGCATTCCTACCCATACATCCCAGCTAAAACAAGAAGTTTGGATACAGGCCAATATATTCATTCAAATGCCCATAGGTAACAAAGTCATTAGGGAAGAAATAGTTAATAACTGAGAAAGCTGAGTCTCTAGTCAACCCTTTGAACATGCAGTTGAGTAAGAAATAGATGAGGGGGCAGTTTTTGCTGGCTTGTTAGTGATGTCTGCGGTAACTATAGATTTTGAGTACAGCAGAAATCACACGATGGAAATACCTCTGCCGTAAGGCAGTTAAAATGAAAGTGCTGAGTAGGAATCCACAGTCTTTACTGCAGTCAGAGAACTTGCAAGAACACCAGATTTTGGAACTAACTTCAGTAAGACATTACTCATCAATAACAGGCAGACACCATTCATTAGTTTGTTACCTTGACCAGATTCTAGGTAAATATGAACCTTCAAACATAATAGGAATTAAGGAAAGCATTTTTTGTAGATTGAATGAAGTCTTTAAAGATAGTTTATAGATAGTAAGAACATGGATGAATCTTGCAGACATAATATTGAGTGAAAGAAGTCAGGAACAAAAGAGTGCATATTGTGTGATTCCATTCATATGAAGTTCAAAAACAAGCAAAATGAATCTGTGGTGATAGAGGTCAGACTAGTAATTTTCCTTGGAGGTTCTACTTGTAGGGCACACAGTGGAGCCTTCTAGGTGCTGGAAATACTCTGGGTGGTAGTAACATGGGTATATATACATGAACAAAATTGATAAGCTTTACATTTTACTTTGTATCAGTTATACGTTCCATAAAAAGTGGGAAAAAATAGAAAAGCTAAGTATTTCTGGTACATCCTTAAATTTCTAGGAGTCTATAAATTTATAGGGCTATACAGTTGTATGTATATACAATTTATAGGAATTGCAAACCCTACAGTTTATAGAAATTTGAGGGTATTGGGAAGATTTGTAAGAGCATGTACCTGGCATTCAGGAGGTGCTGGTTCTAGCCTCAGCTCTGTTAATTTCTTTGGAATTTTACTTCTCCATTTGGGGCTTCATTTGTCTCTCCCATAAACAGCTGAGATGAATGCAACATCTCTGAGAGCAGTATGGCTGCTGCAGTTGTATCCAGAACCTACTGATATGGAAGAAGTGAATAACATGGACTGTGTGACATATCTTTTCCAGGGTCAATGGTGCAATTAGCAACTTTGAAGAGTTCCAGAAAGCCTTTAACTGTCCATCCAATTCCACGATGAACAGAGGCGTGGACTCCTGCCGACTCTGGTAGCCAGGCCGCTGGTGTAGGCCATCCTGGGAGCCGTATAGCGCCAGGAGGGGCCACAGCGAACACTCATCGCCACCGCTTTCAGCCTCTGTTCCCCTGAAGACTCCTATTTTTAATGCATCTTCATTATTTGGGTGTTGCTTGGATGTGAACAGTATTCAAATTGTAGGGCTTAAAAAAAGGGAATAAAAGAAGTGAACCAAGTATGTTTCTTTAGAAAACCAAACCAAAAAATAAAATAAAATAAATCCCTAGGCTACTTTTGTTAAAATATTACCTGCTGAATTGTTGTTTTTGTCCATTTGAGTGTAAACAGCTAAGTGGTACACACTATTTTAATCAAAGGTTTGCAGAGAGCCTAAGTAGAATGTATCCAGAAAAGAAATTCAGTCTATGCATTTTGTAACCCATGATGAGGACATGTTCCGGGATACCTGGTTGGTCTTACTGCTCTGTAGAATGCAGTACTAGATTTTATGTATTATCATTCATAGCATTTATTAACTATGGTAGTTAGGTTAGAAATATGTTGGAGCTTCATTTTACAATTTTTGATGAAATTTTTGCCTTCATCTTTGAGGTCTGTTGGGTTGCAAATGTCTCTCACAGCTTCTGTCTGACGTAGCTGATTGCCCTTCAACTCAGCATGAACAGAGCTGGCGAAAAGGCTACTTGAGAAAGGATTTCAGTTTCTCAAATAGAAAAAAGAAAAATGGATGTGTTTTTAAGGCCCAGAAGAAGTCAAAACTCCTATTCACTAGGAGATGAAATCTCCAAAATTGAATCTATTCTGCCCAAACCTCAGTGATTATGTCTGTGTGCTGGGCACTTCTTCAGTCCAATTCCTGTTTATCTTGTTACCCTCATGTATGTGCATTCTTCTGTTTCTGAAATGAGCAGGCACTGAGAAAATGATTTTCTAATTCTCCAGTAAGAATGTATGGCTTCCATTCCCCCTTTAGTGCAGGCGACCAGATACCACTTCTCTTTTGGCTCAGTTAACATGACCTCTCTTTGAAAAAAGCATTTTGAAAAATTTCTTGATTGGAGACAATTTAAACTCTATTGATTGATTTAAAAATTCCTCACATGTCCAAAGGAAGATAATTTTTTCTTTTTTTTTTTTTTAAATTTTTTTTTTCAACGTTTATTTATTTTGGGGACAGAGAGAGACAGAGCATGAACGGGGAAGGGGCAGAGAGAGAGGGAGACACAGAATGGGAAGCAGGCTCCAGGCTCTGAGCCATCAACCCAGAGCCCGACGCGGGGCTCGAACTCACGGACCGCGAGATCGTGACCTGGCTGAAGTCGGACGCTTAACCGACTGCGCCACCCAGGCGCCCCAGAAGATAATTTTTTCTGTCCAAGTCTTCTAAAGAGTCTGTAAGGAATAGCAGTGCTGGGTTTTTGAGCCTCAGAACTTGATCCTTTCGGGTGAACCCCTCCATGTCTTTTTAGCGTGTGTAGGGGAAAATCTTAATGGCCTTACAGTGGTTACCTGGCATTTCCAGTTTCTTAAAATAGCCATCCTCCCTTTACATTATTCATTGTGTATGTGGTTTGGCGTTAAGTAGGCCACAAGGAAAAATCTCAGAAGCAGAATGACAAACTCTGACTAACCGTGGGAGACCATTTTGCATCCCTGTGATTTATTTTCCTTCTTTTTTTAAATTTTAAATGTACGTGTGTGCCATGTCCTTTTGTAAACATGGGAACTTCCAAAGGGACAAAAATGCAGGGGCACCACCATGAGGAAAACAATTACCTGTGTTGTTAGTCAGAGGACAGTGATTTTCCCCTTGATTTGTTCCTCTCTAAATGAATAAACTTTGAAGGGCAGCTACCTTTTCCTCCTCTTAACCAAGGCTTCATGTGATCTTAATGTGACTTATTTTTAAAAACAAGTGCTGTTAGGTTAGGGGTGCTGGAAGTGTACAGGCGTTTTCTCTGGAGGAGCCATTCTGATTTGCTTTAGACATACAAGATACTCCTTGTTTTATCCCCCTCTTTGGACATTTAGAAGCCACCGAGGTTTGTTATGCTGGTATGAATAGCATTTTCCTTCTAGATTTCTCTTTTAAACTCCCAATAAACACATTCCTGCAGGTCAGAGAAAGTGACTAGAATTATGACTTTGGAGGTGGGAATCATGCAGTCAGTTGTCAGTTGAGGAAGACTAGTTAGTGATCGGTTTGGGCCCTATAGTTTCTAAATGATGTGGCTACTTTGTCCTGATTAACTTTATGTGCTGTAACTCAGTTTTACTGAAAGTTGTAGATACGAGGGCCATTATTAAAACAAGATAAACCCAAAGCAGGAGTACCAAGTCATCGCTACAAGCTACAACAGTTTTCTGGTAGGATTGGATTTCCACATACATGCTCAAGTTTAAATTTTCGATTATACTCTTGTTACTTCTCTTCAATACAGGTTGCTAAAGGAAGCAGACACTGATTAAGTGCTAGAGGGAAGAAGGGAAAACCCAACTGGAAAGAAAGGTAAAAAAAAAAAAAAAGTAGGGAGAAGTTGGCCTCAGAATGTGATTAGGAAGAGAAGACAGGATTTGGGCAATCCTTGCTAAGCATATCCATTGGAGCCGAGCCATCAAGTTTTACAAAAATAATTATGGTAAATTAAAAGGAAATTAGATATTGGATCACATACGAGGACTGCCATAACAGACTTTCCTGATTCATATACCAGATGTTCTACCAGTGAACTATTGTCTGCGTGTTGGAAGGAGTTTTGGGAAATTCTCCCGGAATAGTCGAGGATTTTGTATAAATAAAGTGGTATTATTTGAGCTTATCACCATTGCCTAAAGTTTGTTGAGCTTTTCACCAACCATACAGCATTGGCCTCCTATTTCCATTTTTTCCTTTTATGAGACAGACTTGGACATGACTAATGCAAGCTCGGATTCGTAAATTATCCTGAAGTTTATTCAGTGCCTTTCCTCAATGGAGCTTAAAGCATAGCACATAAATTTTATCTTATTTAGCCCTGGAGCATCGCTAAGAAGCAACGAGGAATGCCGGCTTGCTGCACAGGTTATGCTTGTGCCAGAGAAGTGGAGAGAGGTTTGAAATTGCTTGTCAAGTATCCTAGGATCAGGAAAGGCAGAGTCTTTGTTCTTTGGGCAGCTGACCTCTGCATTAACCTTCATCCCTTAGATGACCCCATTTCTAAATACATTTATTCTCTCAGTATTTGTGCAGTCGCTTAGCATTTGATGGGGCTTCTTCCTTGATATTTCTAACATAATGTTTCAGTTGCCTATTAAGCTAATGAAGAATACATGATTGTTTCATGCAGCAACATTTCCTCACCAGTGGCAGTGCCCCCGCTGGTTTGAAGGAAGGTATTCTTGGATTATGCATTTTATATCTAAATGGTCATTGTATTTTCTTCTCTGACTTGTAAAACAATGTGAACGATCATTTTAAGGACAATAAAAAGTTGAAGATTTTCTGTTTCCTCTATTTTTTTAAAAAACTTATAATCTATTGTATCTGTTAACATACTCAGTTGTGTTTTAGACAATACTATTTGCCCCAGAAGTATGCAAAGTGCTCTAGTAGACTACGTTTCTTGGTCTAGGAAAGTGGGATTTGAATGCAGTAACTTTGTAGACACTGAGAGATTTACAAGGTGGTCGTTGTATTTTCTTTTAGAGTATAAGCCAGCAGATGTGGTTTATTGCTTATGCAATAATATTTCCATTGAGGAAAGGAGAGGCTTCTGAGGGAACGATCAACCATGATAGGGCTGATCTTACTAAAGTGATGATGCCATCAGACCAGAGTCTGTATGTGCTGTCACCTGTCACTCATTCAACACACCATAAGTGAACACCGGTTTTGTTTACATCACACAACTAGCTGTATTTGGGCAGATGATATGCTGTCCCTGGCCTCGCTGAACAGTCTGGTCTTACATGGGAGACAGGTGTGTACACTGTTAGAATCACCCTGCTTTGTGACAAGTGTGGTGATATTCAAGGACATTAGGTTCTGGTTTGGTGCACAGAGAAGGAATTGCTCAACTCTCCTCTGGTGGATGCTGTCAGTGCTCTCTCTGCCCAAATCCCAGCAGCTCCCTTTTCCTGGGCACCCTAACGTCACCTTCAGTCTGCTTTTTTTCTAAGTGGCTGTAGCTCTCCACGATAACTACCCTCATGCTACTGGAGCCTCTTCGCCCTGTGCACGCCAGAGAACTGGCAATGCCTGGGATTTTATAGCCCCTGGCAACCTTTGGACAATGCAAGCCTGTCTGCTTTTCCTGAGTCCAGACAAATCCAGAGGCATATCATAGAATTCAGACTAACTTCTCTATCGGCGCATATTTGAGGTTATGTTGGCAGTGCAAATAGAGCCCCCTGTTGATAATTTTAATCATCTTTCTGGCACTGATAGGTTCTAAGAAAAGTACTGGTTTGTAGTAGGTGTGCCATAGGGACTATGTACAGGAGAGAGCAGACAGGATACAGAGCTGGTGGGTAATAAGTGGCTGAGCATGGCCTGTTAGTGCCCCTCTTAGAGAGTTTACACTAGTTTCTGAGCTGACCCTCCAAATAAGAATTCTTGTGTATAGGGTAGTGGCGGAAGGAAAGATGCATAGAAGTGACAGTTTATGAGTTATCTCTGGAGCATGGACAGGAAGGAGAGGCTTTAGGGGAATGGAGGCAAAGAGTCTAGAATTTTTTGTGCTATGGTCTGTATGATAGATTTTATAAGATCCCTAACAAGTATTGAGTGTGATTCATTTGTTAGATATATAAGTGGACCTGATCAAAACTTGAAGGAGGCAAATGTTACCAATTAGGTTTAAGTTATTTGCGTGTCCCTCAAGTTCAGTTCTTTTTCTTAAAAAAAAAATTTTTTTTACATTTATTTATTTTTGAGAAACAGAGTGAGACAAAGCGTGAGCGGGGGAGGGGCACACAGAGAAGGAGACACAGAATCTGAAGCAGGTTCAAGGCTCTGAGCAAGCAGTCAGCACGGAGCCTGATGTGGGGCTCAAACCCACGAACTGCGAGATCATGACCTGAGCCGAAGTCGGACCCTCCACCGATTGAGCCACCCAGGTGCCCCCAGTTCTTTTTCTAATTAAGATCACACTTGCTGTTGAAACAGATTACCTTAATAGCTTAAGCCAATTTAAGTTGATTTCCTGTTTTCGTTTCATACAGAATAGGTGTTGATGGTCATTGAGCCTCTCTCTTCCAGTTGGTGATTTAGGGACTTGGGTTCCT